CGATGCGCTCCGTAAATTAAGTTGTCCGCGGACGTAAGGGATCCGTCCATTTGCAAGATTAGCAGGATTTAGGTCGCCTTTCGTGAGAGGAACATTACCAGGACGAAAAGAAACGTAACTTCATCCCGAGGTTGCCAAATTGACCTGGATCAGGATGTCTAGCGGCAGGATTTTCCCGATTTTCTCGATGCTATCAGGATTTGAGGTCTATCAGGATTTGAGGTCAATCAGGATTTAATCCCGATTTTATCAGGATTTGAGGAAGAATCGGTCGTAAAATCAGGATTTGAGGTCAATTCGGATTGAATCCCGATTTTCGCAGGATTTGAGGAAAAGTCGGTCGTAAAGTCAGGATTTGAGGTCAATCAGGATTGAATCCCGATTTCATCAGGATTTGAGGAAAAGTCGGCCGTAAAATCAGGATTTGAGGTCCATCAGGATTTAATCCCGATTTTCGCAGGATTTGAGGAAAAGTCGGTCGTAAAATCAGGATTTGAGGTCCATCAGGATTTAATACCGATTTCATCAGGATTTGAGGAAAAATTGGTCGGAAAATCAGAATTTGAGGTCCATCAGGATTTAATCCCGATTTTTGCAGGATTTGAGGAAAAGTCGGTCGTAAAATCAGGATTTGAGGTCTATCAGGATTTAATACCGATTTCATCAGGATTTGAGGAAAAATTGGTCGGAAAATCAGAATTTAAGAAAAGTCGGCCGTCCGATCGGATTTTTTATGCTTCCGCATACGCCTAGGCAGAAATTTCAATTTTTCTCCGCAAAAAACTGGGATTTGGAAAAATTATGAAATCAGGATTGTGCGGTCAAAAATCAGGAAAAAACAGGATTTCCCAAAATGAAAAAAAAACTAGACATCCTGTGGACATTTCAATCTTTTACAAGAATGTAACGAGTGGCGAAGCGTATAAATAATCGATTATCGTTATTTCCCATTTGAAGCTATTGTAAAGAATCGATTTTAAAAGTGTTGTTCCGAACACCCTGTTTATCGATCCTTTTCCATAGTTTTGAATGGGAGATCGTTCGATAGATCGCTAATCACGCCACGGCACCGAATGTACCGGTGCATAATTGTATCGAGTTTTGTAGCTACAGGTCATCAGGTGAAAAATTAGTGAGATTTTCAGCGAGACAGACGTTCCCAATCGGTAATAGTATTATTTGCGAACGGAAATTTTGCAACGTCGATATGAAGTTACGTTATTTCGAGTGGAGAACGACGAAATGAGCTTTCACCGGCGTTTTTTCGAGGCTCTTTTTCCGCTTTCGTTTTTCCGTCAGGAATAGGGAAAAGAACGTAATGCCATTTACGTTTGAAGCACAGAAAGCCCGGAGATAACTTGTTTTCTGTTTGCCTATTTATTACGGAAAAAAGGAAAAACACAGAAAAAATGGATTGCTGACTTGACAATTTTGTAGTTAAAAAATGTGTCCGATGTGTTTCAAATGTACATTTTACTATAGGGGAAAGCTAATTTAACCAAGGTGGTTTTATTAACATTTTTTTAATTGTAAAATCTGCATTGAAACACGTGGGACACATTCTTTGACTAAAAAATCGTCAAGCCAGGAAATTCATTTTTTCCTTGAAAAAATAATAAAAAATAAAGCGTGCTCCAGTGCTATTGATAAAATACACGTAACATTTTCCACTAATTTTTGCTGTCAATATGTAGTTTTCTAACTCTTCTAATTTCAAAGTAGACTAATCGGAATGGACCACTAGACAAGGTACGAATTTCAGCATTCTGATACATGTTCCTCAACCAAAATTTCACGTAGAACACGATACGCACAACGAAAATTACCAAAATCAACTCCTGACGAAGATATTTAATGATTCTTGATGCGTGAAATCAAACCACCCGCTCATGAAAACTCAATGCTCTACGTGATTCACATCGCACGCTAAATGTTTATCATGACAGTCTCTGCGATGTAAAAATCTTCAACTTCAATCTTGACACTTTGGCTCAGCTATAGCAAATTACCAATAGTTTGAACAACACATGGTGGAAAATGAACATTGCTCGATTGAGAAGCTTGCTGAAACCGTTGTAGCGCGCGATTTGACTCACGTAGAGCTTTGAGTTTCTTGTGAGCGGGCAGTTCAAATTCCTCGTAATCAGTGCGAAATAAAAACGTTAATATCTTCGTTAGAAGTTGATTTCGGTAATTTTCGTAGTGTGAATCGTGTTCTACGTGAAATTCTAGTTAAGAAACATGTATCAGATTGCTTAAATTCGTACCTTGTCTAGTGGTCCATTCAATATTTTCAGTTTAAAAGCGACTAACCGATTGCATTTTAACACGAAATATTTAACGAGCCTGCCGATAATCCATTCCCAGAATAATAACGTGACCGGGGGTAATTAGAGCTAAACATCTATTTTTCCGGGTATAAAGTATTTTTTAATTTTATGTAAAACTAATTTGAGTTAATAATTCCGCCGTTTTAGTGGGTTCATAATTTACATATAGATTGGAAAACATATTTTATTTGAGATCATATTTGAAATTTTTCGGCCCTCGGATCAGATAATTTTTTCCCCCCTTGTTGTCATGTGTTTTGTGGGAGCCAAATGACCGTTGAGTCAACCGACGATGAAACATACTTTCATTTAAGTAGTAAAATGTTTGTGTATTTTTGATACCTAACGTTGATACTAACGTTCATTCAATCGTCTTTTTTGTTTCAGGTTAGTGCGTGGTGGATAAATCACCTCAATTCTTTGACAGTCTTATCTATCTTGGCAAGCATACCTTCATTGTAAGTCAGTTTTACCAGCTTAAGTCCATCAAAATACATAGATTCAAAAACAGATCGTATTTTCCAGGGCACCCAGGTATTTTGTCTCTCGATGTCTCTTTTGTGTTATATTTATTCTTCATAAAATTTTATAAAACTTTTCATGCAAATCTCGAAAAATTTGATTTTTTGTGTAGAAATTTTCTTTTTCTTCTGTGATTAATTTATTCACAACTATATTGTCCCAAATCCTGGAAATCAGTTCAGTTACTTGTCCAGGAGCACTGAAAAAGTGCGGAATTTCCGCAAGGAGGTCCGGAATTGTCTTCTTTTTTATCCTTTTTTTGGCATTTTTTGTCACAATTTAAGCGGGAAATTCAAATTTTTGAAATTTTTCGAATTTCGTCACTTGGAAGTACTGACAAATAATTGAATTTTCCTGTTGAGGAGGTACTGAATTTCGTGGGAATGTACTGAAAAATTACTGTGAAAGTACTGATTTTTGGCAAGCCTACTTCAGTAGACACCCTGCATAGATTTTGAGAAATTCTTCAATAATGATTCCATAAAGCAAATAGGTATTCAGATTATATCCGAGTGAAAAGCATCTTGTGTAGATCATGCAACACACGATTGGGCCCGTCAGATTTAGAATATCCACTCTTCGAATATGAAATTTGTTTATTTTTAAGGAGAAATGGCAACGTCTCGCATAGGCCGAATAATTTCCCGAATCTTGCGTTGATTGAGTCGAGGCGAGTTCATTCCGTGACAAAACGGTCGGAAGAGGAATCGGCCCGCGGCCCGCTGCCGTTTCCCTCGGCGCGAAATAAATTAACCTTTAATTTAAGCCCATAAATCAGCGCTTTTCCGGCTCTGGAAAAGCGGGAGGGCGCCGGGAAACGTATCGGGACGGGGCAGGAAAATCGACGCGGCTCCCGCGAGGGGAAGACGACTTCTTGGCTCGAGCTGCTCTGCCGTGCGAAGGAAAAACGCCGTAAGAGCCTTCAGACGTTGCCATATTTCCTTCAATACAAAACGAATCAGTGGGGAAAATTGTCATACTTTTTTTTAAAACTATCAGACAATTTTGTTCTCAATTTCATCTAAAATCGTATGAAAATTTCACGAAAAATAAGCAGAACTTTCCTCAAAAATACATCTTTTGACTTCTCGGCCCGAGCTGCTCAGCTGTGCCAAGGAAAAACGCCGCAAGACCCTTCAGACGTTGCCATATTTCCTTCAATATAAAACGAGTTTACTGCGGAAAAGTGTTGTCATTTTTTTAAATTTTCAGAAAATGTTGCTCTCAATTTCGTCTAAAATATCTGAAAATTTCACGAAAAATAAGCAGAACTTTCCTTAAAAATTCAGTTTTTGACTTCTCGGCTCGAGCTGCTCTGCCGTGCTAAGGAAAAACGCCGTAAGAGTCTTCAGACGTTGCCATACTGCCTTCCGAACCTTCAATACAAAACGAGTTTGCTGCGGAAAATTGTTGTTATTTTTTTAAAAATTTCAGACAATTTTGTTCTCAATTTTCATCTAAAATATCGGAAAATTTTGAAGGAAAATAAGCAGAACTTTCCTCCAAAATACACGTTTTATCCGGAGACATTTGGCATCCCTCGAAAGTTCATACGACGTTTTTCCTCATCACGGCAGTGCTCCTCTCCGTTCTTCAGTTGGCCAGTTCGTCGTTCCCTTCACGAAATAATGTGACTAAATTTCAGTGTTGCCGAATTTTCCCCCGCAAATTGCATTTCTACCAGAAAAATCTTGGGTACTTGCATTTCTAACTGAAAAACTCACCGATCTTTCCCCAGATCTCATGCAAAAATCAGGAAGATGTTTGACCAAAATTTCACAGGTTGTACTCGTAAGAAATTAAATTGTTTGAGTCAATTTTGTAACATTGGAATGGACTTACGTTCCTTCGTCCAGAGAGCAACAAATTACAGAGGTTGTTAACCATCATTGGATGGAATCGGTTTTTTTTTGCATAGGTATATGAGGAATTTTAAATAAAAGAGAAGGAGAGTAAAAGAAAAACCCTGTATGCGGAAGGCTCGACATTATTACTCTGAAGTGGCAGCTTAGCACAATTTAGGACTGTCAACTAGGGTCGTTAAAATGTCGTGTGAACTAGCTGCCTCTTGGAATTAGTCGAACTACTCGTTAACGCGATCCGTTAATAGCTAATCAAGGAAATTTTCTTCGTTGAAGACCTATTTGGCGGATTTGTCTCAAGGAGTGATAGTTTTCGGTCTGCAGTGGGTTGAACAACTCTATCATAAGTGATTGAAATTATTGTTTGTAAATATCGCCGCGGAAATGAATTATTCTTTCAAATTCATACTCGTTTTTGGTCTGCTGGGATACTTACTGATCACCGTATGTATTTTATTTGTGCTCTTTACCAATTAATTGATCTGCTCCAAAAGAGGGTACGAAGCATTGCAAGACACGTTACCTCATAGATATTTTTTATGGGAACAGGTCGGAAGTATTTACAATTTCCAAAATCAATTTTTAAGCAAGGAGTCAGCGTTTCTAATTACATCGGAACTTTTTACTTTAAATTCTTCTTTGTTTAAAGCCAACTCAAGTTGAATCTGCTGGAAACCTATGAATGTTTGGCAAATACTTAGACTCTGGTTTCACATGAAGCTCCTCATTCTTTTTACGTACGGCATTTTTTCACTTGTTTCTAAAGAACAAAACTCATAAAAAATCACTGTGTATAGGAAAAAAGTCATATTTTAGGCCGGAATATCGATCCTGAAAGTTGAGCACACGGAGAAAAAGCCATGGCTTTTTAAACCAATTTCAATTGGAACACCACTAATAGTCGTAAATGAACTAATGATTCTCGGTCTGTGAACCATACTAGGTATCACGTCCCATACTAAGGTGTATATACCATCACTAAGTTATATTGACGGCATAAGTCCGCAGTCACATATCTCGTTTGCGGTGTCTGAAAATCTCCGCTTCTATGTTATTTTTTTAAAGGAGAACATATTGACATCGTTCCTCGCAGTTTTTGCAGAATTTTCTTCGCACAGAGAAGAAAAATCACGGCAGTTTTAAAGAATTGCCGTTGAGTAGTTTTCGGTTTAAAAATAAAGTGTGACAGGAAGTTTGCGACGCCGCGAACCGAGTTTTGTGAGTGCCGACTTACACCGTGGATTTGTATATAAGCTATTCAAATTGCACCAAGTATGCACCATGGCTGTCGTTTCTTATCGGTTCACTCCGCGCACCGTGCTAAACGCGCAATGCGTGAAGTATTTTCTCAGTCTTGTAGGCGCTAATATGCCATGGTGAACGTGCAATGAGTGCGCGTGACGTATTTCCGCGCGGTCTTGTAGGAACTAAAATGCCATGCGGTAAACGCGCAATGCGTGAAGTATTTACGCAGTCTTGTAGGCGCTAACATGCCGTGGCAAACGCGCCTTCACTACTATTAGTGGTGTTCTATATGAACCAATAATTGGTTTATAAGCCATGGCTTTTTCTCAGTGTACGTTAACTTCCGGACATCCTGTATTACGACTCATGCACTCTTCGATAGTTTCTATTTTTTGCCGCAATCACGCGCTGAATTTAGCAGCTGAATGTGGAAGTCAACAGTCATCGCCCAACGGCTGAAATTTAGCAAATTCGAGTTATTTTCATCCAGATGTGTATCAAATCTCTTCGAATAGTTCAGACAAATTCAACATTAGTCCGATGGTTGCTGAGAATGGTTGCTGAAAAAGTCAGGCATCGGGCCGATGACTTCCACATTCAAGCCTCATTCAGCTCCTACATTCAACGTCTGATTGCGGCATCAGGGTTCTGGTGACGTGGTTTGACGTTTTCTAGACGGATTGCGCACCCGCGCCGAACAAGGGGTTCCCTGGGGAGTGGCCGAGGATGCCGCCGCGAGGGCAGCACGTGGACAAGCACGCCAAATGCGTCCGTCGCTGCCGCTGTGCCTACGACGATGTATCCGAGGATGAGGCCACTCTGGTCCGCTGCATCGACAAGTGCCACGAGACCTGGTACTGGGAGAACAGGAAGTACTGGGAGATCAATCACGACAGGTGGCGCAGGAGACGATCCCTCCCCAACAAAATCAACAAGTTTTTCTCCGCATCTTCCGCAGCCTTCAAATTTCCGCCGTCTGGATGAAATAAATTATTGGGTCCGCGCACTGGGGAAAAAACACATTGAATCTAGAATGCAGACTCTTGAAAACATTGACAAGAAAAAATACTCTTGATTCAATCAGATTTTTGCTTAAATCAAAAGGAAATCCGCTCAAATTAAGAGGCTGGGTTCTTGATTCAAGCTTCAATCTGATTGAATCAAGAGTATTTTTTCTTGTCGATGTTTTTTAGAGTCTGAACTCTAGAGCCAATGAGTTTTTTTCCCCGTGCGTTAAGCAGAAAGGAACAAAGCAACGTCAGCGATAGCCTTTAATTGACCAATTTAATTTTTTAACAAGAGAACATTGATGCCGAGTTTTTTGAAATGTTTAAGGAATTTGTTTCGTGCAATGCAGAAAATTCACTGAAAGTTGCCATAGAAATCCGTCCAGCGGTTTTCATGTCAAAAATTGAATTGCTCGATTAAAGACAATAGCTGACGTGGCTTGGTTCTTTTCTACTTAATGTGATCCATTTTTAGGTCGAGCGAATTGAAAAGCCTCAGTATTCTGAAGCAATTGAAATATTCTCCTACAGCTTTAATAAAATGTTCACCTAGAAGTCTTACCGATTCTTTCTCCTTATCAATTAAATTTATACGATTAAGAAACTTGCAAAAACCATCGTATAGTCGACAATTCTATTCGCTCATACTCTAATTATCATTCCTGTGAGCGACATTTCATTAAAACATCAGGAATATATCAGGAAAAAGCAAAATGGAATTTTAGTAGACATCCTCTACATGGTTCGTGAAATCAAACAAATGTCACTCTGCTCTGCTATAAACTCAGGAAATGTCATTCAAAAATCATCAAAATGTCAGGAAAATCCAAAATGGAAGCTTATTGTTAGTAGACATCCTGTACGTATTGAAAATGTGAAATATTGAAATGGTGGTTGGAATTTTGAAAAGAGACACAGTAGTCCAGTGGACTGATCCGTTGTAAATATATCGCCTCTGATATAAAGCCAAAAAATTCGCTCTTTTTCTGCTGAACTGATATGGACTGTGCTTATGTGCTATCTTAACGCGGCACGACATGAAATTGATACGACGCCACGCGCTCCTTTCTTAATTACCTTGAACAGGATTAATGGGCCCTATTAAACGACACTGATCGCTGAAAGTGCCCCGATCACGCTTTTGGTGCCCACGAAACGCTCTCGCTCCAGATTCCCAAGTCTCCTTTTTTTTCTGGCCATCGAAGAGACGCGTCCCGGCGCACAGTGGATCGACTCAATTAGAGAGGTCGGACATGGATTTTTTTACTAAAATTGCAAATTTTGATGCATATTTCGTCACAGTTTGCATTTCAAGGAGTGCTTTTAGAAGAAAATTTTACGAGGAAACCAATGAAACCACATCCAGAACCTCAAAATTCCGTATAACCGGAGTTATAAGCTTTTAAAGTTTCCAAATTTTGTCCGACCTCTCCTATGGACTCGATCCACTGTGCGGCGTGCATGCGTGATTGCGTGCCGGTCGCCCGGAGAGAGTCACAAATCCAATCAGCCAATCCGATAGTCGTGATCAGTTCTTCTCTGCAGACCGCAATGCGATCTGTTTCGTGCCTCTTTTTCGCAACTTTCGTCGCTTTTTTTCTCTCTTTTCTCTTTTTTACGTCCCTGGAATCGTGCCGAGGTGAAACACATCCTGATAACGGAATCGATGGATTCTCGTGACGCGCGGCAATTGGTCCGTTGCAAATTTTTGCTAGAGCGGAAATTGGTGTTGGTTCGTATGTGAAGTGACTAAAAAATCAGGATGCTCAGCTCGTCGGGAAAGTCTAATATTACTTCACAATCTGTGTAAAAATGTGTCTGTCATAGGCAAATGGTAAAATCAGGTATTTTATCAAATGCCTAAGCAGATACTCAAATTTCAGAGTTTACGTGGTATATTATGTCTATTGTCTTCGTGAAGACCTCTCAAATGTTCAATATTTCGAGACTAAAAATCCGCCAAAGTACGAATTGTCATTGTATTTTCCGTTCAAAAATGCTCCTCATAGTATTTCTTCAACTGTTCAAATCGTAGAAACTTTTTATTTGATGAAATGCTGCATATTTTAAGATGAATTCGCATTTAAGGACTAAAAAAACGTATTTATAATCGTATAGAGCAAGTGTTTATAGAGGCTTCCTTCCCACATTATCAAAGAAAAATTGTGTCTACAGTCAGCAAATTAATCTGAACTTCAGTCTGAGTAAGAATCTTTGATTATGTGCCTACGTATTTGACGAAATTCCTGATTTTACTATTTGCCTGCGACATATCCGTTTTTAAACTTCGCGCTTTGCAAAGAAGACCGCGGCCAAGAGAAGCTCTCCCTCTCGCTAGCAAGCATATCGACGGTGAAACTACCAAACCACGTATCTCGTTTGCGGTGTTTAAAAATTTACGCTCACATTTTATTTTTTTTAAAGTAGGCCAAATCAATATCATTCCTTGAAATTTTCACAGAATTTTCTCTGCACGAAGAGGAAAAATCACAGAAATTTTCAAGACTGGACGTTAAGTAGTTTTTCATTTAAAAAATAAAGTATGGCAGGAAGTCTGCGACGTCGCAAACCGAGATACGTGGTTTGGTAGTTTCACCGTCGATATGCAACACACCAATACCCAGAGAAAAGAGGGAGACAATCTGATGGAAAATTAATTTTTCAATATACCGCTATGTCTACCACAGATTTACAACTTAGGAGATTTACTAGAGCTTAGAGCTGATGAATCGTTCATCGTACTTACATTGCCTCTTGATTTGAACATCCTCGTCGATCATTTGCTGACTTGGCTAATCTGCTGCGGAAATACGTTGAAGTTGCATTACCTTGCCTTTGCAATAATGGAACAAATCATTCTTGTAAAGACTAAATGTCTTATCAGAGTGATTGTCTTTTCGCCATTCATGCATACGTCATAACGTTTAATTTGTGTCTGAGAACAGCACAATGCAACAGTTTTGAACTGAAGACCTTTACGTTTGACCTTTTTTCTAGGGCCATCTCGACCAAGTGTAATTTATTGAAGTAACTAATAATTAACCATGTCACATCATTACGGTCTGTGTGTTCCGTGTTTCCTTGATGTGAAATGTGCATGTAGACTACATTTTGCAATAAAGTACTACTATTTCGAGCTCATTTTAGAAACAACGTATGTATCATTTATGTTACTGTTCAGGCAGACGCTTCCTCCTCTTCTTTTTCTTCTTCTTCCCTTCCTTTTCCTCTTTTCCTCTTCTCTTCTCCTTTTTCTCTTTCTCCTCTCTTCTTCCTCTGTTTCTCCTTCCTTCTCTCTTCTCTATTTTCTCCTTTTTCTCCCTCTCCCTCTTCTCCTTCCTTTTCCTCGTTCTCTTCTTCCATTTTCTTCTTTCCCTACTTTTATTTATTCTTTTCCTTTCCGTCTTTTCCCTCTCTTTTTCTCCCTCCTGCAGCCCTTTTTCTGCCCCCTCACTTTAACTCTCCCTATGCAGATGAGTCCTTTTAAACATGAGCGAAAAATAGTAGCTCCTAATGGCATAGTGTAGTCCATGCGATGCGTCTTGAGCAATATTGTGAGGGGTGCGGGACGGGGATGGCAAGTGGGAGAATTCAATTTCTTCCCCTCTGAGTTTTTGACATCCGAACTCTTTGGGGGAAATTTTGGTTGATATGTTATATTTTTTTACATTTTTCGATATTTTGAACCCCTCCTTTCTTCCCATATTTGTGTTTACGCGTTATCCTCCAGCACTGGAAAAAAAAACACATTGGATCTAGAGTCCAGACTCTTAAAAACATCGACAAGAAAAAGTACCCTTGATTCAATCAGAATCTAGCTTAAATCAAGAACCAAGCCTTTTAATTTGAGCGGATTTCCTTTGGAGTTAAGAAAAAATCCAATTGAATCAAGAGTATTTCTTCTTGTCAATGTTTTCAAGAGTCTGGACTCTAGATCCAATGTGTTTTTTTTTCTTCCAGTGAGGAAGTTTCCGGAATGAAATACAACTCAGTGTATTGAGATTGGTCCAAATTCAACCAACACGTAACGTTATGTATTCTTCTAAGTATTTAATACTTTTTTAAGTATTTATTGCAATTTGATAACGGCGCAGGCGCGCAAGCTTCAAGCTCAATTGCTGGTAAGCTAATTAGCGTTGAAGTTACTTGATCAGTATTCATGATTAATTAGGGGTTGGGTCGCAGTACGGCGCTCGCGTCAGGCGCAAGATGAGCCAGTAATCAATTTTCCCCGTTCGAGCCCTCGGCGAGGTAAACATTATAACGCGCACATCAAAGAGCCCTCGGGTCGAAGTAACGCGCGCAAGTCGACGGATTAGCACCTTTGGGAATGATTCTTCCTTACTCGTAATCGTAATGCCAACGTCTGGATTCTTGAACATCGTTATCGAATGAACTTAATTGACATAGCTCTATTTTAGTAATGGCATTAATTCAGTAGCGAAGCGTGAATGATCGATTATCGATATCTCCCATATTCGCAGGATGTCTAAACACCCGAAATTTCCGGAAATAGTACAGATTTTTCAAGGGCGGTCCGGAAGTACTGAAAAAGTGCGGAAATTCCGTAAAAAGGTCCGGAATTTCCGGAAAGTCCGGAAATAGTACAGCTTTTTTAAGGGCGGTCCGAAAATATTGGAAAAGCGGTCGCAATATTTCGCAAGAAGATCCGGAATTTTTTTCATTTTTTCTGTCATAACACAATCTTTGAAATTTTTCAAATTTCGACAAATGGAGGTACTCTAAAAGTACTGAATTTGTCTGTTGAGGAGGTACTGCATTTCTTGGGAATGTACTGAAAAAGTACTGTAAAAGTACTAATTTTTGACCAGCCCGTTTTAGTAGACACCCTGTTTTGAAGGTGTGGTAAAGAATCGATTACTAAGGTTTTCGTTGCTAACTTCTTGTTCATCGATCCTTTACCAAAGTTTGAAACAGCAGATCAATCGATCTATCGCAAAGCTCGCCACGCCACTGCATTAATTGATCCAGGTCATTCGATAATGATTTAATTATCAGCTCGCAGTTTGTAGTCTCA